TGGAGTTTGGCAGTGGGGCATCTTTTGACAATGTCATGTCTGTCCATTACTTAACCGGGCCTACAGCAGACACTCGCCCGCCTTAGACTATCTTTGCAACGTCTTCAACAAATGCCGACAGACCTGCAAAAAATAACCACACGCATGGCACTATCCTTCCAACGCCTTCAACCATCGTCTCAACACATTCAACAGATACCAGTAGGCCTATCAACAACTCACCTCACAGGTACGAGAACTCCCGTATCCCCGTGGGCCTCGAGACCTTCAACGGTTTGACCTACCTTCCCCCGGACCTGGTCAGAGCCATCTCTACTGACCTGACGACACCGTTCTGGGGGCCGGGTTATGATGGTTTGGACAGTCAGCAGCCTGCAAGGATACCATGTTCTTGGTTCCAGAAGGAACACTCGCAAGCCAAGTTTACCTTTGGGTTCAAGACGGAGGATGGTAGGAGGGAGGTGGTGAGAATTGAGGTGCCGGTCACGGACTTGACATATGTGGTGGCAGAGACTGGGAAGAGTGAGCTGTGTGCTCTGGGAATTGTTGGCACGGATGAGCGCAATGCGGCGCTGGGGACGGGGGTGATGAAGAATGGGTGCTGGGTGTTGGATGCGAGTGAGATGAAGGTGAGGGTTGCGAGGGGGGTGAATTGTGGGAGTGAGATTCTTCAGTGGGAGGAGGGGAAGAGATACGAGGGGAGATGTGGGGAGGGAAGGACGGTGGGCGGAGGGCCTAGGAAGAAGAATGGGGCTAAAGATGGGTATGATGGGGGGTATCATGAGTAATTCTGTTTCCTGGGATGTATGGGGACTTTGATGTGTGTGGTGATGCTTTCAGACCTCGTTTTCTTATAAACAGGTCTTGACAGATGGTCAATAGGCTTTAAATATGGTCGACAGGTGTTGGGCGAAAGTCAAGAGGCCTCAAAACATAGCTATTGACGTCAGAGATGGTCCAAAAAGCTTTTGATTCCGTTGTCATGTCTTGAGCAAATCGTAGGTGTGTTCAAATAGATAGGTAGACCGTAAACAGCTAGTTTGTTAGATTGATAGAGGCCTTCTTGAATCGGCATGGGGGTGGGTGGGAGAGGTGTTTGGAGGCTGTCATTCTGCACCGGGGATGACGTGGAGGAGTTGGCGAAGTTAGTATGGTTATGTTTCTTTTCACGACGTCTGTTTAGATGTATTTAGGTGTAGAAGTTTGTTATGGTCTGGAGGGATATGCTTTAGTTTGGTGGCTCTTGTAGCAATTGATCTTTGCCTCGTGAAATAACATGGTTTCTTTTAGGTGGCGGCGGTTTTGGCTTCTGGTCGTGATGTGACAATAATGAAGAAGGGAATAGGGGCTGCTTCGTTCGAGCAAGCAGTATTAGTTCTCGGTGATATGATCAATATCCTGCCACAAAATCATCAATTCATCAATGGATTCAAGGGCCGCTGGTCTAGTGGTATGATTCTCGCTTAGGGTACACCCTACAGCATTGCTTGCGAGAGGTCCCGGGTTCAATCCCCGGGTGGCCCCCATTCTTTTGGCAATTTTCGGTATTATGGTTGGTGGGTGGTGCTGTTTCTATTGTGTTTCTCGGTTGAGATTGTAGAGTTGCCGTCTTTTTTCGTTGGCCGACTGTGGCATCTCAGAATGAGTTCAACAATGGGACAATTTCGTGATAGCGGCTTATGTAACCACCACCGTCCACCGTTACCGTTACACTCCCCTTGCCGCCCAGGCGACCCCTGACGGTGCAAGGGTCGCTCGGGCCGGCAGGGGTTTGGGCAAGAACATCAAGAACATCCGCGTGGGCGGATGGGGCAGGGTTCATCCCTCTCCAATCAATTGTCGCCTGATTGAGACTCGTCTTGATGGATGGAGAGTTGATGTCGAGTCACTGAAGATATTTAGGGGTTTTCGATTCATTTGTAAGGTATTTTGGATCATTACTCCGTAGAGCAGGATTGTGGCTGGCGAGTTGTAACCGCCTGACATTTCGTCTCATCGTTTCAAGCCTGAAACTGTCACCAGAAGTGGGAGGCCAGAACGGAACGGCCCCGCATTTCCCTTTTTTTTCCAGCGCTGTCGCATCTGAAACTCTTGGTGGCTTTTTCTGGTGGTCGGGTTGCCCTTTGGCGCCGGCGTAACCGTTCGTGTTGCCGTTGTCGCCTGACGCTTCATTCTCTTTTCCTCTCCTTCGCGTTGTCTTGGTGTCTTGGGTTTCGTTCGTGTGCTGTCTTGTCTGGACCGGTCCATTTGCTTCTCTCCCTCCCTCTCCCTTCTTCTCTTCTTTTGACGTTAGGTGATTGATCACCCGTCTCTACCTACCGGTATACCGTACACACGTTCTTTTTTTGATACTACAGCCTGGAGCTGCTTTTTTTTTTGCGAATACCCGCTCATTAATTTACGTTTACCTAATCCGATACATACATACAAATACTTCGACGAAAAAAGAGACAAAATGAAGTTCATCGCTGTTGTCATGTCGCTTTGCGTCTCCCTCGCCAGCGCGGGAGTGGTTATCATCCCCATCAAGCCGGAGCAGGTCGTTCCCAAGGCGTCGGAGGATTGTTACTTTGGGGTTGTAACGCCTATGGGGTGCGGGTATGTTGTTCCCTTTCTTTCTATTATGGGGGTCTTCTTTGGTTCTTTTGCTGACTTTGTTTGTGTTTGTGTAGACCTCTCAGGAACAACTAGATATCATCACCTCTCGGCACAAACATGATGTGATTGGGGACATGCTCTAGCCCAACGATGGAACCGGACAATCGATGGGAGCAAGCGCCTGCGGTGTGAAAAGAGGAGAGTTTGTCGGACTTGCACGGGATGGCTGGCTTGGGGGCTGCTCAAATGGATCGCGGAGCAACCTGTTGAACTTCAGATGGAATCGACGTCGGATAGTTTCTCGCCAACCGACAGGACTATGAGAAGGAGCCGGGGAATGCACGAGTTCAATCAGCAAAGAAGGCCGATATGCTTGTAGAGCAGCAGCGTCTGATGTATGCATCCTGCGGTTTACATCGTTGGTCTGCTTGGATATCTGGGCTTTTACTATGTTTGGGGAGGAGGGGGTTTATGTGATGGGATATTCGATTCTTTTGATACCTCTACTTTTGAGATGTATATTATTTCTGGGAGTATGCCTGTACATTCAAGCACCTACCCGTCTACCATCATATCCAGTTTATCGTGGTTCGGATAATGACTGCGATAAGCTCGGGCGATTCCTAGCAATTACTTTCACATGAGGATACATGTGTCTGATCCGACTCCGAATAACTCCAAGAACGTTCGAAGCTTTATTCAACATTAAGTATTTCATTGGGGATATTCATACAATATCCACACCGGCAAACGGCCCATTCCGCCTACCCCTATTTTTGCCCAACCAACTCCTATCATCAAATATTGTTCGTCGATTACCGTATGAAGGCTGTGTGTGATATATGTACTTCCATAGCTTTGAGCTCTCCTCAGGTTTAGGCAGGAGGAACGGGGGCAGGAGCCTCGGTCGAGCTCCCCTGTTGAAGACCGGGAGAAGGGGGGAGGAAGAGGGGAAGGTAGGTAACGATTAGGGACATCACTAGTTACAAAAGTTAGCTTCGCTGTGCTGCGGGGGTGGCGGCATTATTGGGGGTTGAACGTACATGACATGCCCACGGCAAAGTATCCAGGGGAAGAGTTGCTCTTCTTGGTCTCTTCAGACTCTCCAAGCCAGGACTGGAGGGAGAAAGCAACAGCGGCCCTAGAGTTGAGGCGTCATGTTAGATCATGCTGAAATGTCGTGTGCGCAAAGAGATGCGACAAAGTGCTGCGGAAAAGGACAGTTGCTCACCATCCAACATAGCGGTTGCGCATGAAGATAGCCGCCATTGGTAGAGTGGAGGAGAGAGTTGAGGCAAGCTCGGGGTTGTCCCCCTTGCTGGCGGGTTCTTGAAAGGGGACAACTATTCCATCGCGAAACACATATCAGCATTAGTTGGGTCCTGTTCTTCAATTGCACCAAGTGGTTGGCTCTGATGGGGATATACGTACTCAAGTCCGGTCTGCGGGCATCTTTGGTTGAGGCCATTGTGAATAACTTGTATGTCTGACCTTTGCGCAACTGGGACAGCTAGCTGGTGACGATGTTGATGCGATCAGGTCCAGAGAGACGTGTTTGGAGTAGCGTGCGCTGGAGATTGATTACGTGAACCCAGACCCCCAGCCGATCTCTCGCTGGGAGTGGCTCCACAGTTAGAGATCCAGCTGGGGCGGGCTTTGCGCTAAAAGACACCCCCACTATTCACTTGCTCTGTCGTCAACGGATATTGGAGAACTCAAGTCTTTCGGATGCGAGGGGCAAACAACCACCACCCTCATTCCATTTCCAGGTTCCGTTACGATAATCATGGAAATGGAAATCTGACCCTTCCCCCCCCCACGTTGACAGATGCTGTCCTCTGGCAGCGCAGCAGCTCAACGAGGAAGGTCAGACGACACCCGACTGGAACCTGGAATTTGGAAAGACTTCCCGTCAATATCAGACTGGCGGACTTCAACAACGGCGGCCAAATCCTAAACCGGCTGCTCAGTCGAGATCCCTCATATTTGTCCGAGAATTCAGCATCAGCTCCAGGCGAGACTAGGCGAACGTCCTGATTCGGCAGCACACAGGTGCCGTTTCTTATCATGACTAATATAGCAGAACGGGCGGAACGGTCTCTCGCCCGCGATCTGTAGCATCGGAGAGTTGATCAGCACTTGCTTGTCTCTCACAGAAGGTTGCACAGAAATCATAAACGTGTAGGGTGTACCCCACCATGATGCATACGATATTGTTGGACATCCATGGACTCGCCTTCGCACCTAACGCACGCAAGAGCAAACACGCCGTGGGCGAAATACGAGAGGGGCTTTTTTTTTGATGGCAGTAAACACCTCTCTGTTCGACCGATGGGGTAAGCAGCCTCGCAGCTGCAGGCTGGCAGCTCCGTCGGGCTCCCCCGTGCAAAGTGATGGGGGTGGTGGTCATCCTCGTGCTGGAGATATGTAATTGGAGCAGCGTAATCGTAACACAGCCGACACTGGACGGTGCCCGTGGAAGAGACCTGTGAGGACACCCTTGCAGAGGCCCCACCAACTGTCCAACTGCCCGCAACCCACAATCTGCAACCCGCAGCAGCGCTTCAGGCCAGTGAGCAGCACAGGCGCACGCCATTGCCCAGCGCTACACTACGTTAGGCCGGTCGTGCTTCCGGGACCCGACCTCCTGTCCCACGACGACGAACATGATTGCCAACCTCAGCTCACATCTTTCCTGTGCTCCTCCAACACCCACCTCTCATCTGTTCTCACTCTGCACACCTGGACAGACAAACACGAATTTGAACTCCTCCTCCCTCTTTTGACACACGACCGGCGACAACGTTCCTCGCCTACCCAAAGGAAGTCGGCCACATCCAACCTAGTTCCAGCTTCTCCCGAAGCCGCCCGCTGCCCCATTCGTCCATCAGATCCCGGGCAGGGGCCAGGCTCCGACCGACATCCCAGCCTACCCGTCCGAGATATCTGATCGCCGACCGACGGAGAACGTCCATCTTTTGACCTCACCTTCACCCAACACCACCAACATCGAACGGACATGGCGCAAGTGCTGGTCCTCACGAGATGACCTCCCGGCCCCCACTGGGCGTCCAGCAGCGACAGCCCCAGCAGCATTCGCTGGCCGGGCCAGGTTTGTCGCAACGGCCGGCAGCGCATCAGCGCGCCCTCTCACAGCAGCAGCAGTTCCTGCCGCCGTCACCCATACGAAAAGAGACAGGTTCGTTCGAATTCACTCCGCCAGATTATAACGATGGCGCAAACACGAGGTATCCGGGCCAGCGCCGCGGCGGTTCGCGCCTCAAGCTCGAGCTGTCGCACGAGTCCCTCGAGTCCATTACCCATACCGGCATCATCGAGTCGCCCAACGCCATCGACACCTCGAAACCCTTCACTCCCTCTCGCATGATGCTCCCTACCGACTCCTCCGACCTGGGCGACATGAGCCCACACTTTTCCCATCTCCCGACCGTCGATCTGGACGCCCCTTTGCCCATGCCCCAGCGCCGGTTACGAATCACGCTTCCCCGTCGCGACCCCCCACCGATACCTTCTACCACGACAAGAAAAGACGTGCCGCCGAAGCCATACCAAGTCGAGGTACCATCTGCTGCTCCGCGCTACTATACACATGGCAAAGTCGAAGCCCGGCCACGAAAAGGCGGCACCGCTTCTACAGCGGGACATCTGGCTCCTCCTCCGTCGATTGGCTATGCAGACTTCTATCCCTGGATGGGAAATCATCCAGAGGATCAGTTTTCCGAAAATGTTATTCGACAGGGCCACTTTGACAAGCCAGCGTTCAACCCCGATACGCAGTTGGGCAAGTACGCCATATTCCCGTCGATGAAAGGGGCAAACAGTTCGCTCCATACACTCTCCGCCATATTTACCGCCGCTCTGGGAGCAAGAAGAAACAACGGCCAGATCGCGTCTCATTCGACCTTTAGGTACCCGCCTCGAGTGACGGTTACCGACACAAAGAGGGAATTATGGCTGAAGGATCTTGCCAATCCTGCTTCCTCCCTTCGAAGGCTTGCTCGAACCATCCCCCATGGCCTCCGAAACCAGGCCTTGCTCGAACAGTGCTTGAACAAGAGGATTCCGTTTGAGCGCGCGGTGTGGTTGATACAATGTGTCGGTGCGAACGAGCTACGGACCTGCAAGCGGAAGGGCGTTAGTCTCGCCCAATCTTTCGCTGCTGAAGTCCGTTGGATTAAGGACTGGACGGTCTCCGTGCAGAAGTTCGTTGAAAATGTGCTCTTCTCCTTTGACGACAAGGACTGGAAAGCCAGGGTCCAGTACGTGGTTCTTCTGGCTACACACCTATACGAGCAATATTTGCTTGATCGGGAGACGTACATGGAGTGGCTTGTCTCCAGTTTCGAAAACAGCAATCAGAATCGGCTTCCCATGTGGATGCTCATCACCGAGATATATTGGAAAGATTTACTCAAGCTCAGGAGATATGGACGGAGACTGGTCACCGCTCTTATTAGTCATCATCAGCTGGTGAGTGGCTTTGGCCTGATATATTTCAAGACGCAACCTCCTAATCGTGATATAGGTCTTCAACCATCCGGACAGAGACATATTACAACCGCTGCTTTCAAAAACAACAACACTGCTCAATACACTGATACTAAGCAGTCCGGAAAACTTCGTATCGCCTTCTGTTTGGTCAAAATATCGAGACACGATCAAAGCATGCTTGCCAGTTGGTGATACAGAACGGCATGACGCCTTCGCAGCTATTGGGTCTCGAAACGAGCAGCTCATGGCATCTGGAAACAGATCACAGCCGGCCGCCCGCCACATATTAGTGCAGTGGTTGGACAGGAACACTCAGGCACCCATGTCGGAAGAAGGGCCTGCGAATTCTTGGAACATTTCCAAGGACAAATCTGCGCTGGCAAGGGCCCTGCTGGAGTGGTGCACTTCGCTTTACCGCCCAGGAAAAACGAAAGTCTACATCGCCGGTCAGCTGTTGCAACACTGGAGCATGTTGGGCTTGGACGTCACCACCGAAATCTTGGATTTTTTAGATGCCGACCCTTGTGCGCAAAAGGAGCGCAAAGACCACCTCTATCATCTTGTCTGCGAGCTTGTTCGCTCCAACGACTTCTCTGTGCCGCGTTACATCCAATGGCTCAGCGCAAGGGGAGGTATAACTAATCCTGAGGATATTCTGCCTGATGGACCGGCATCCACGCGGCTTCTTGCAGAGATTCCTCCTTTCGGCCTGTCGAGCGAGCAGAGGAATCTTAGAAGTGGAATGCTTCGACGTGCCTCGTTCAGCGTGGACGATGAAGCACGAGACGCAGAAATGGCTCTAAAGTTAGTGAGGCAGTCCCTAGGCCTCCCCCTGGATCCAGCAGACCCCATCCGGCAGCGAAAACCACGGAGTATCAATAAAATCAGCCAGCAAATACAAACCGCAAGTCGAGCACTCAAGGCAGAAATCGGTCGCTGGCTCCGGGATAGTGTGGCTTCCACATATGGTGGGAAGGACAAGACAGGGAGCAGTGGCCCTGGAGCATCGCCGACGTTATTTGGCAGCATTCGACAAATCCTCGAAGCTGCTGAGGATTTGTCCATGCTTGCAGACGTTCTGAGATCGCTCATCTCCAACGCTTGCGTAGAGGTACTGACCGCCATAGCGAACACGGTCAACCGACACTTCTTCATCTTCTCGGCTTTGGGTGTCTCCAAAGGACTTTTCAACGACTTGAGCAAAAAGCTCAGGGCTGTCTATCTGGAGCAGGGACCTGGAGCCCGACCACTGTTGGTCTCACTCGTCTCCCTAGCCCCGAGAATACCTGGGATGGACGAGCTGGCCACACAACTCAGGAAAGATTTGGCACTTAGCAGTCGTCAAAATCCCGTGGACGCCTGTTCGCCTGTTTCGGACAATATGATTGCTCGGCTGCAGGATGATAGCAACGACTTGCACGAGGAGATCGAGAAGCTGCTGGCTGCCGGCACAAGCGTGGACAGGAAAACTATGGAGAACCTGTTCCAGACCATCATCCAGAGGCTACATCAAAGCTGGGGAGAGTCAGCCGCCAAGCAACGGGTATGCAGTGTCCTCCTTGCTCGGTTGCGTGTTTTTGACATGCCGCTCTTTGATGCCCTTATGGCAAAGTGGATTGCCTACCTGCGGACTCTGACCAATCGGCCCTCTATCGATCGCATCTTTCCTCTCCTGGTCTCGAACGGATGCCTAACGATGCCGACGATACTCGCGTCAACATCAGACTCGTCTACACCGACACCAATCACCCGCGTCCCAACAGGCGGAGCCAGCTGGCCCCAGATTGTCCAGATCACCTACCGAACAAGGTACATGCAGGAGACGCTGAAACTGCTGATGAACCCGCTGCGGCCTGATTATGACCTGATCACGCCCGAGGAGATCTACCGCTTCACCAACCTCCAAGAGCAGGTTCTGAGGGAGAACCCCAAAGATATGCTTGCTCTCATTGGCTCAGCCATGGCCGAGTACTCCTTCGCGCGAGCTCAAAACGATACTCGGGGCCTTCCGCTCGATGACCCCATCATACAGGAACGTCTCTCGACACTGATCAAGCTCTTGGTGTTGAAAGACGCTGCTGGTGTTGGTCGTGCGTTGGCCGCCTGGGCAGCCAGAAGCCCAGATGGTTATGTTGGCAGTTGGATCGACAATATGACGACTAAACTCCTCCTTCCGTCGGCTGATAGACACACCCACATCACCTTTGACCAAATCCTGGAGCTCACCAACGAGTTCACTTGGCCCTTTTGTCACCTCCAGCTCTTCCTCCAAACCTCGACGCCTCCAACTGACCAGAGCAATAACCAACAAGCACCTGCAGCCGATAGGCAGCCGTCTACACTCGACTCCTTGACCAGCGCCATGGACAGGGCAATCGACAAGAAGAATCTGACCTGGGTGGGGATTGTGCTTTCGCTAAACGTGGAAGTGGTCCAGCAGCTCAAGGGCAGAGCCCAAAGCCGCTTCCTCGGGCTGATCCCATCTCCCCGGGAACCCCTTCCGGTCAACACAGCCGGCCCCGTACCGGAACAGTCGCTCCAAATGGCCGAGAACTTGCTATCTCTATCCCCTACAACTAGCAGTGTTAGTAAGAGCGCTCCATT